AAATGCCAATTTTCAATCATTTTTATATTATGCACCTTAATGCATAAATGTTATACAAATGAACTACCACTTTTCTTTTTTTCTCCAGCATTACCTATGAACAGTAGAAAATAGAAAAAAATAATAATAATAAGGTGAGTATAAGAGGATTTTTTTTCTGTCCACTAGGTGTCCTTCTTCCCACATGTAAAATCAGGACTTAATGTTTTCCTTGGGTCTGTTGGTCGGTTGGAAATGGTTGTTTACAGCACTGTCTTCCAGGGTCCCCCTGATGATGTCTGACTCGTTATTTAATTCATATTATAGGGAAAACCCAGTATGAGTTTCTAACAACCCTGTGATGACCACATCACAAGCTCAGTGCAGAAAAAAATGAACAAAATAGGGACATAACTGCCTTAAGGGCCCCGGTGAAGACTTTGGTCACAGCCAGTGAGGACCACAGACATGACTCAGACGAGTAAAGGGATAAAATTGTACCTTCTGTTTCCAACCATGAAACCATAATGTTTTTATAATCCTATAGGATTGAACTTTGTGCTCAGAGTCATCTATATATTGTAGTGCTGAAAAAATGTCCCCATAGTTAGTGAGGACAACAATGTTTTTTCGTGTCTGCGATCTATAATCTACTGAGGACTTAACATAGATTTATGTTATTTTAGAAAATACAAAACAATGGTAACACATTCACTATTAATGATATTTTAATTACAAGTAACTTCAAACTAATACCCTACAGACAGTATAAGAGGAATTTCTGCGAAAGAAGAAATGTGATTTAAAGTGATTTTTGACAAACGCAGTTTATTGAAACATATATGGAGGTTTTTGGTTTTTTTTTTCTGCCCTGATTTAAAGCCTTAGTTCACCAAAGAATAATTGTTTCTAAAGAGTGCCCCAGTGCTTACAAATCTGATAAAGGCCTAAAGAGGTAGAGCTGACAATAAAAGGTTAATCTCGTGACCCGCTGCCGGGGGGTCATCCAACCCCCAAAACCCAGGGGTGCCACCAGAAAGCTTTGAAAACAGCAGGCCAGATGGAAACCATGAATAATTTTGGGGTGGTTCTCCAAATTTCAATAGCCATAGCAGAATTTCAGGAATTCATAAGGATTAATGAAGCTTTTAAAAATGTTTGATTAAAAAAAAAAAGACAAACTTATAAGAGGTCATGATTACAAGTAGGCCTACCTCTGCACCAACATCCTTCACTAACTACATGAAAAACTTGAAAAAAACATAAGTAACAAGCAATATATTAGGCAGGCTATAGTAGAGAGACAAATATTTAAATGCCACATCCTCTAAACGGCAAAAAAATGGCAGAAGCATGTTTAAGTAAATAAATATGGCAAGAATGCAAGACTAAGTTTATTTGCCATATAGGCGGCGAAGCACAATGCACTGTTGACATTTATTTAAGCTTAAGTCTGTATAAAATAAAACCATCAAAGAAACTTGTAAAACAAAAATTCTCCTTTTTAGTAAGAGCAATTAGATGCTGCATATTTTTCTTTTAATATTTTAGTGTTTCACAGAAACTGGCGTTTTTATTTTGAATTTCTGTTAACTTTGGATGGAATACCCCCATAACAAGTGACTCCGTTGATTAGTTTTTGCTCTTTTTATGCAGCAACCTCCCCATCCACATCTCTATGCATGTGACCCCCGCCCCCTCCTCTCTTTTGTCCCTTTTCGTTTCCTGCGCTGAGACAGGGAAGCTGATCCCCCTCCCAGTCTCTCTAGTATGGCAAGCTATTGTAACATTTACTACAAAGCAGCTTATGAGGGGGAAAAAATGTAATTAGCATTTCAGATAATAATGAAACTCCTGGTATCCACAATATAACCTTTATGATATCTAAAAACATTATCATCACTCGAGTGTTTAAAAAAAAACTTATGACCAGAAGCCCCTAATTGAGATATATCTGCTATCAAATTATAACAGCAAAGTTTTGAGTATTAAAAAGTAGACAGCTCTTCATTTCTCCATAATAATCAACTGAGAAACATTTCAAAGTACACATTTTCTTTAAAATAGAAATAGTTATTTAGCTTTTGCTGTACTTTTTAATGCAATTCTTTCAACCGATAATGCTATTGTAGACCTTCAGAGTGCAATCAACAACAGAAAAGTCAGTTATAAAATGCAGGTATGACAATGCAGACATGTGTTTGGGATCTAATAGATCATAAAGGAAGGGGTTCTTGTCAGAGTAAATTTATGAACTTTTTGTGCTGTCTTTAACCTGATATCTAAGTTGAGATATAGAACTATGAACAAAAGAGTTGTCTACTCCTGTGATAGTTAAATGATCCTGCATGTGTTAACAATGTGTATTTTATGCAGTAAGCATGCATTTACAAATATTTACTGTTCTAATGCAGATGAATGGTAAAAGTTCTCCAAGGTAAATTTGAATTTTAGCCAAATAAAGTATTGATTGTCAATGAAGAATGCAATCTGAAATCCACAACAAGAAATAATTAGTGTATGGATAAATGCAATGCAGATGTTTCTAAAAAGTCTAAACATAAAAAAAAAAAAAAACAGGTATGGGTATATTAAAACTTTCAACTACTAATAATAACATTGTTGCAAATTTTAATTTTTTATTTCGTGCAAGGTATGTAATTGCTATTCACTTGGTGAAAATATTCAATAAATATAAAATGAAGAATAAAAGATATTTTATATTAAAAAGGTTTGTATATAATTGATAATCAATATAAATGCATCCAGCTGTCGGAGCTTAGTTTTACAAAAATACACAAATTATGATTAAAAAACAGACATTAACATTGAATGCAACCAAAAATCTAAATGATACATTCATTCTGTTACAGGACAGCTTTCATGTTAGATTATTTGGTTTGATGTTACTACCTCAATTTGACCAGTGTATTCTCATTATGAGTTCATATGAAATCGTACGAAAAGTTATGCACCGTAATTTCGTACGTTTTGGACGTTTTTTTCGTCGTATGTGCATGCGCATCTTACGCACAATTCAAGAACATAGAATATAAATTACAATTAGCCCTAACCCTGAGATATAAAACAGCAAGCAACGTAGTTAAAGACATCAATAAGTGATTATTGCACTGTTTTTCCCAGTTTTACGTCCGTCCGCGGATCTGCTTTTTTTTTTCTGTCTGCCACCGCATGCGCACTGATCTGGTTTTTTTGATGAAAAAAACTCCAAAACGTACGAAATAGTGTGCATAACTTTTCGTACGATTTCATATGAACTGATAATGAGAATATGTTGATTTGACACTGTAAGCTTCCAGGAGAGGACCCCTCATTTTGGGACTGATCAGTCAATCATGTTGACTTCTATAGACCAGTCACACACAGCCAAGGAAAAACTGGATTCATACTTAAAGTTATAGTGGAGGATGTTCTTTTTCGGGTGGATCATCAAAATTAATGGTTTTACTAATTGTCAATCATTCTGGTGATATGTTTACGTAAGGCCGTGCTACATGCTCATCACCATTTTCACTTACCATTGGTGAGTCTGACATGGTGGAAAAATTGCAAATCTTATTTTGGAAAGTAAGCTTGTATAACCGAGGCAAACAGCAATTTTTAAATGGGCTTGTGTGCTTAATAGGCCATCCCTCCCAAGAGAGTGTACGGGGTTATGCATGTTCATTTGTTTCTCTCCGAAGTGGACAGGGTGGTATGGAAGAGGAGGGCCACTGAAAAAAAACAAAAAAGTTAACTGATTTTTAAACGTTATTTCGGTATAATATGAGAAAGAAGTCAGAATTCTGACCAATCTCAGAATTCTGACTTTTTTCTTAGAATTCTGAAAGTCAAATTCTGAGAAAAAAAGTCAAAATTCTGAGATTAAAGTCAGAATTCTGAGATCAAAGTCAGAATTCAGAGATTAAAGTCAGAATTCTGAGATCAAAGTCAGAATTCTGAGATTAAAGTCAGAATTCTGAGAAAAAAGTCAGAATTCAGAGATTAAAGTCAGAATTCAGAGATTAAAGTCAGAATTCTGAGATCAAAGTCAGAATTCTGNAAAGTCAGAATTCTGAGAAAAAAGTCAGAATTCAGAGATTAAAGTCAGAATTCTGAGATCAAAGTCAGAATTCTGAGATTAAAGTCAGAATTCTGAGATCAAAGTCAGAATTCTGAGATTAAAGTCAGAATTCTGAGAAAAAAAATCAGAATTCAGAGATTAAAGTCAGAATTCTGAGATCAAAGTCAGAATTTAGAGATTAAAGTCAGAATTCTGAGAAAAAAGTCAGAATTCAGAGATTAAAGTCAGAATTCTGAGAAAAAAGTCAGAATTCTATTTTTTTTGCATATTAAACCGAAATAATATTTAAAAATCAGTTAACTTTTTTTTTATTTTTTCATTGCCCCATATCTTCTTCCGTAGGGCGGGTCTTTTCAAAAATTCGCAAAAAACCTCCACTATACCTTTAAGACTCAAAAATCAATACAATACTCAAATTAAAACAACTTTAAATAGAAAAGATTGTTATTTCAAATAACTGATACTTTTAAATAGCAACGAAATAAATACATTATAACATAATACTTATAAGTATTTTGTTATATGTATTTATTTTTGTTGCTTTTTTTTTTATCTCCCTTGTATACAAGGGTGATAAAAAAATGTGGCTAGGATCCAAAGTCCAGTAATAACAAATCAAACAGACCAATAGGAAAGCTGCTATTGTAGGTTAAAGGTCGTATCTATCTACAATAATGAAAGACTGGGCTGATGGTTACATTCAAATGTACTCTAACAGCTGCTTTCTTTAATTGATTGTATTATAGTCTTATGTCGGGGGTGGCCTTCTTGTTTCTGGTAGGAACAGACGCGTTCCTGGTATTAGATTGTAAAATGTTTAGCCATAGATTCGCTGTTACCGAGCTGTAAACACACCCATTGATCTGAGTGAGCGCAGGCGGAGGAGCGACGGAGAGGAGAGAGGAGTGGAGCAGGGAGCTGGAGGAGAGGAACGCCTCCAAACTGCTCCTCTCTTATTATTCACCGAGTTCCTGCATTCAACCAGACCTACGGTGAGTCCCTCCGCTGTAGTCCTCAGTGCCAGAGAGTTTATCCCTGCGAACCAGTTCTCGGAAATAACAAAAGAGTTTTCATCCACTCCGTGGGCGCAAAGGCTTTCATCGTGGCTCTTTCACGAGTGGCATGCTCGCGCGACCCTTCGGGTACGACTGAACTCCTGCTTTCACCCAAAGAGGTATTTCTATAAATCTGCACTTTTTTATTTTAGTATTTTTTTTCCTTCTTCAGGCTGGTTATTAAGTACACCGGGCTAATAAAACCCAATTTCTATTTATGTCAATATTTGCTTTTATTGTTTACATTTTGCATTTCCCGTTTTGTTCCTTTAGAATTTCTGCCTGTTTAAGGTCGTTGCATGCTTCCTTGTCATTGTTAGATGGATGTTTGGTTAAAATGTAAAGCCAGCAGCTTGAATGGATCTGAATCTGTTTGGGTTTTTTTACATCGTTCCCTGCTGCTGCTGCTGCTGCAAGTCTGCGGTCTTTGTTGTGCGTCTCTCTCGGCAGATGCTCGGAGCTAAGTCCACATAAGCCTGGTGTTTACTTTTGAAGTGGTCTCCCTCCCATCCATCTCTCTTCCTGCGTCCATGCTCGACTGTGAGCACCTGGCAATGATTTCTACCAGACTGCAGCCAGAACCTTTTTTTTTTCTTTTCCCATTCTAGTATTTTCTTTTTTTTTTTTTTTTTTCTGCATGGTGCATATAGTCTGGTTGTGCATCTGTTGGATCTGGTTTCTTTAGAACATGATGAGGATGGCATTTCAATCTCATCTCATCCCTTATAGCCCATCATGACTACTTACATTGTATTTTTATATCCTAGATTTTGGAAATGTGTAGATTTTGGGGGTCCCTGGTATTTTTTTAATTTAAAATAATGCATTTTAGAGTCTTGTCATGCTTGGTTTGTCTGGAAAATAATCCCCTCCTGGGAGTCTTGAAAGAATAAAAGCAGAAAATACTCACATTTAGATCATGGTTAAACGATTCTGGAACCTTTTCTGAAGTTTGGTAAAGGCACGCAGAATAGATGATTCAGAAAGGGTCCAGTCATGCAGTCAAGGTGATTCTCTAAATTATCTTTATAGAGTGAAGATTATAATATAGTCTATCTCACAGTATGCATTAAAAACGTCCTCATATTTGTTCAGGAACCAAACTTTTATGCACTTTAACAAGCTTTTACGTGATGAAGTTGTTATTTGATAACAATATGTCCTGGTTTAACAATATGTTTTCATTTTATGGAGCCCTTCTTAGTTTAACCCTATCAACTCTGACTGTTTTCCCTATCTCTGCTGAAAAAGCATCCTCACAGCATACCACTTCCACCTTGCTTTACAGGGGGGATATTGTTTTTAGGGTTATAAACAAGTGTTTAACGTCTGTTGTATGTAACTTTGTGCATATCAATATGTTTGCAAGGCAATGTTTGGTCAGCAGATTGTTTGAAAGAATGTCTGGATATTCTATGAATATAAAATGTCTCAAATTTTAGATTATTTCATTCAAATAGACATTTGGACATTAGATCCGATTGTTAGCTGTTAGGCTTTGTTACGCTTTGTCATTATCAAGATGTTATAGTGTCATTATGTCAAACCATGATGAGGTCAGTTCCCAGAGAAAATTACAGTCGAAATGAAAACATGGATGCTGAAGATAAAGGTTATTTAGTCGGAATGCCATGATGCTGACATTTAGATATTTTTTCTGTGTCTGTTCGAGTTTATTAGTGGTGAGAGTTTCTATGATTTCTGCTTCATATACTAGAAGACCGAAGGGTGCTGAATGAGCAAGCATCAAAGAGCGGATAGGATAAAATTGAATAGTGTCTAAATGAGACACAATAATGTAAAATTATCTGAGAGAAGTATAAGATTAAATTAATGTGCTAAAAAAAAAAAAAGTACCACAAAGATTTCCAAAATGGATAAAAAAGGATGATAAAAAGATTTAGGAATAAATCAAATTACCTTAGAAAACTCCAAACTTCCAGGTTTTGGGACACTTTTTAAAGCAGAGTATTAAAAAGCACAAAATAACCCAAATAACCCAAGGGCAAACAAGACAAAGCTACAAAAAAACAAAGAAAAAAACAACGTAAACTGTCCAAAACAACAATTAACGTTTGCATCTGGACTAAAAATAAGAAAAAATGTGCCTTCAAAAAAGCTACCGAGGCAACATGTTGACTCCGAGCAGCATATATATATATGAAAAGAAAACTGGAAAAAGATGTAAAGTAATCAATATTAGAATGACTGAAAATTTCCATATTGTTTCATCCACCTTTCCTACAAACAGAACCATCATTAATTCACTATTTACTTCATTATGTAAGCTGCAGCTGTGTCCCTGAAGTCATCCCCAGTTGCCTGCCTCTATGCCTCTGACATGAACTATAGATGGTTTTACTTATTAAAATTCTAATTGATAGCATAAGCAGAGCCTCACTAATTAGGTTCCAGCCTTATTAGGTTCACTTAAATCGAGCTACTTACAAATTTCAATTAGAAAAGCAGATGTGTGGTGTGTGCATTTGTTGGAGGTGACACTTTCAGGTGAGAGACCAGGGACGGATATTCTCATCATAGCTGATTCCAGGGGATGACGTGTGCCTGGTCATGTCTCTGCTGGAATGCAATAAAGCCTGTTGAGCGAAGTTAGCAGTTGGTTTTATGTTTCATAAACTGCTGACAAATAATGCTGGTGCTCACTGTGAGAAACCTTGCATGGTTGAGATGGATGCTTTTTGCCCACACACACAGAAACACACACACTTACCACCTCCCACACAGCCAAAAGCGAGTCGGTTTAACAGGTTGTTTGGAAAGCTCCCTAGTTTGGTTTTGCTGACTGTATCGCAAGTCATTTGAGGTTAGCATGAAACCAAAGGTTTGTTAGGTAAATCAGTCAGTTGAAAACCCTGAAGCAAGTATGTGAAGCCGATGCAAGACTGCGATCCAAAACATCTGTGCTCATATAAAGACCATTTAAGAAAAGAGTAAAGAGATGAATATAAAGAAAGTGGTGAACTGCGGCTTAAGAAGAACGCTTGCGGCCAAACGCTGAGAATTACTTCTTTGTGCGTCATGAACATCAAAGTTCGAGTTCAAAGCGATTCAAAGCCAAAGGTAGAAGTGACAGCGCTCATCACAAATCTTGCATTTGTACCTACGGGCTTCACACTTCATTTCCCTTTTCACAAAACTACATTCTCAGGATTCTTAAGCACATGATGCAACCTATGGAAATCCAAACTGTCCCCTCGCCTCTCAAACTGGGTCTTTTGAACTCAAATCTAATGTGGATATGAAACCCTTCACCCCCTAAAGACATCTGCCCTCTGACAGAACTTAAAGGGATCATTCAGGATTTGCAAGTGAGAATCTGCAGAAAGGTTATAAACTGTAAAATATCATACATGCACTATGCAAGTTTCTTGGTGTCTTATTATAAATCAACATTAGCTGATCATAGAAGCTGACTGCTTGTCATAGAGGATCCAAAATTACAGCTGATATTTACCATGCTGATGAAGATTCTCAGTCATCCAGGTCACAGTCATTCTGTAAAAGTTTAAAAACAATCCACTGGACTTGGTTTCCAAGGTTTGAAGAGGTTTCGCTTCCCCCCAAGGATGCTATTTGAATTGAGAAAGCCTGGAGGGGAAGCGAAACGTCTTCAAACCTCGAAACCAAGTCCAGTGGATTGTAACCAAAAACATTGTCTATGTTTATGCAGAAGCTGTTTTATGTTCATTTGAAATCTCTTCCTGTTTCCTGTTTTTACACGATAGATTGGTTATTTACTAGGCAAATGGAGGTGAAACATGGTACGCCACCAATGATCCTCCTGCATGAAACATACACTAAGAACCAACTTTTAAAGTTTGTCTAGTCAGAGTAAAGTTGGGTGTAGGACCTATAGCAATCCTGTTCCTGCATCCATATGGAGAGAGTTACCTTGTATACGGCCATTAACTTAGAATTAGACTTAGATAGCTTTTTGTTGTCCGTTTGTATACACAGTGTATACAAAACGGAATTTCGTTTTGTACAGCTCTCATGACATTTACGTTTGTTAAAGTGCAGCAGTGATCAAATTTAAACAGTGTGTGAGGAATAAAAAATGGTGCAAAAAACTGCATTGATATGGAAGTTAGAGCAAGTGTGAAATGGTTGTTTTGCACCTTAGAGATTTTGGTTGTTTCATGACGTTTACATTAGAGCCATTTGCTGCTGAGCTTTTCTTTTTTATAACTAACTATGCATCGGTTTGTACCTACCAAGTTTGTTTAATGGCTTATTAAATGGCTTTAACTTTTATACGTTTGTTGATATCACAGTTGTTTTAAGATGGTAGAATTGCTCCTTGCATTTTTTTCAAGCTATTTAGCTAAATGGGAAAAAAAAACTGGAGCTGAGATATGTGCTGTTTATTACCTTTTAAAAGGGTGTTACCATGAGTCTATTCATGCTAGACTACATCTGTAATTAAATGATGTAATAAATCAAAGTAGCTAATATGTAAATACTTTCATGAAAAAAAGGCTTTAGTTTTGTACTAAATATAAAACCAGAACAAGTAGCCTTGTTAATATAATAAAAAGTGAAGCATCTTTATGCCTTACAGTGTTTAAAAAATATATATTTGAGCAGTAAAATAGTATTTTAAAAAGGTTGACAGGGCATTCCCATTTTGAGTCGGCTTAACATAAAACTGGGAGGCAGAGGGAGAGATGCCTGGCAGGTGTTTGGAGAAGGTTTTATGGATGTTTGCAAGAGCCTTTTGCCTTCAATGTTTGGAATCCTTGGAATTCCCGGTAACTTGAAGGTTAGGAGCTGACCTCAGTCTGCAGCTGCTGGATGCCTGTAAGGAAACAACAAGCTAGAACAACTTCGCTTTGGAAGGGAGTTTGGAATATTTTGTGAAACTTTTGGCCTTATAAATGCTCATTAGGGTCCTAAGGCAGATTTTATAATAGATGTATTTTTTAAAAGAATTTCCGTATTTAGAAGCTCAAAGAGAGATTGCTTCAGAAGGGCATACTACATACAAGATTCACACATCAACCATTTGTTTTTTTGCTTTATGATCTCTTTTTCTCTATATATAATTATGCTTTTATGGATATAATACCAAACAAATCATATTTGCACATTAATCTCATTGTGTAGGATCAATGCAACTTCCTTTTTTTTTAAATAAAACTTGCTAGGCACATTAGCCCTACTTTACTATTGAAATAGTCTGCATTTTATGACTAACTACTAAAAGCATGTTTCTAAAAACAAAAAAACATTTACTTTATGGATTTTTAATTATTTGATGACGATTGTAATTAATATTTATTCAACTAGTATTATTTAAGTTTATATATAATATAAATTAAATGCATTTAAAAGGTTTGAAATGTTTGGTTCTTTAAGATTTTAAATATGATGGAATAATTAAAGCCTTTTCTTTCTCATCTCTTTCCAGGATTCAATGAAAATGTCAGTGTGCGTCCATGAGAACAGAAAATCCAGAGCCAGCACCGGCTCCATGAATATCTACCTTTTTCACAAATCCTCCTATGCTGACAGTGTTCTCATGCACCTTAACTCTCTACGGCAGCAGAGGCTTTTTACAGACGTCCTCCTTCATGCAGGCAGCCGCTCCTTCCCCTGCCACCGGGCAGTGCTGGCCGCATGCAGCCGCTACTTTGAGGCCATGTTCAGTGGCGGCCTGAGGGAGAGCCAGGCCAGCGAGGTCGACTTCCGAGACTCGATCCATCCGGAGGTTTTGGAGCTGCTGCTTGATTACGCGTACTCATCCCGCGTGGTGATCAACGAGGAGAATGCAGAGTCACTACTGGAGGCTGGGGACATGTTGGAGTTTCAGGACATCCGCGATGCCTGCGCCGAATTCCTGGAGAGAAATCTTCATCCGTCCAACTGTCTTGGCATGCTATTGCTGTCTGACGCCCACCAGTGTACAAAGCTGTCAGAGCTCTCCTGGGGCATGTGTCTAAGCAACTTCCCCGCCATTTGCAAGACAGAGGACTTTCTCCAATTGCCCAAAGATATGGTAGTGCAGCTTTTGTCACACGAGGAGTTGGAGACGGAAGACGAGAGACTGGTTTATGAAGCTGCGCTTAACTGGATCAACTACGACCTAGAAAAGAGGCACTGCTACCTCCCAGAGCTTCTGAGGACAGTCCGTCTTGCCTTACTGCCCGCCATCTTTCTCATGGAGAATGTTTCAACAGAAGAGCTGATTAATGCACAGGCAAAGAGCAAGGAACTGGTAGATGAAGCTATTCGCTGTAAGCTGAAGATTCTCCAGAATGATGGCGTTGTAAACAGTCCCTGTGCTCGACCCAGAAAAACCAGCCATGCCCTCTTTCTTCTTGGGGGGCAGACATTCATGTGTGATAAATTGTACCTGGTGGACCAGAAAGCCAAAGAGATAATCCCGAAGGCTGACATACCTAGTCCTAGAAAGGAATTCAGTGCCTGTGCCATAGGCTGTAAGGTGTACATCACAGGGGGGCGAGGATCAGAGAATGGCGTTTCCAAAGACGTGTGGGTCTATGACACTGTTCACGAGGAATGGTCAAAAGCGGCACCCATGCTCATCGCCAGGTTTGGCCATGGCTCTGCAGAGCTGAAACACTGCCTCTATGTTGTAGGTGGACACACTGCCGCAACAGGCTGTCTGCCAGCCTCCCCATCGGTGTCACTCAAACAAGTGGAACAATTTGACCCGGTGGCAAACAAGTGGACCATGGTAGCACCTCTCAGAGAAGGTGTGAGCAATGCAGCAGTGGTCAGCGTGAAGCTCAAGCTGTTTGCCTTCGGAGGAACCAGCGTCACCCACGACAAACTGCCCAAGGTGCAGTGCTATGATCCACAAGAGAACCGATGGACTGTGCCGGCATCCTGCCCGCAGCCCTGGCGTTACACGGCCGCTGCCGTGCTGGGGAACCAAATATTTGTCATGGGCGGGGATACTGAATTCTCAGCCTGCTCAGCTTACAAGTTCAGTAGTGAGAACTACCAGTGGACTAAAGTTGGGGATGTGACAGCCAAGCGGATGAGCTGTCAGGCTGTGGCATCAGGAAACAAACTGTATGTGGTGGGTGGGTACTTTGGTACGCAGCGGTGTAAAACTCTGGACTGCTACGACCCCACGCTCGATGCATGGAACAGCATAACTACTGTTCCATATTCGCTCATTCCTACCGCCTTTGTCAGCACCTGGAAGCATCTACCAGCTTGAATCCTGAACTGTTCGCCTCTACCCTCCCTATTAGGTAAGATCCATTTCTTAAACCTATACATTTTAACCAATTGGGTTCGGATTTAGGTTTCTGACGCAATCTTTAAGCTTAACTAATAGAATCAAACAAAAAAATCCAACAAACGAGGACCTTTCAATTCTGCTTCCAAACCTAGAGTTAATGCGAGCAGTTTAGATCTGATTCCACAGTGAGAAAAATCGGGGTCTTCTCAGCAAAAGAAGATCAAGGGTAGGGTAGATGGATCTCTTAAATGCTTCTGGGCTTTATTACGACGGGGCAAATGACTATTTTGAAAAGGACAGAAAGGGTAACTGAAAGAGAGTAGGATCCCTTTGCATCTTCTATGGGAGAATCTCTAAGAAAAAGGAGCCAATTAGCTTAACCACACATCCCCGAGACCCTTCCCCACACACACGCTCAACCTTTGATGGGGCTGTGGTCATTGGAAAAGAGAAGGGGGGTTGCTTGCGTCTCACACAGTGTCGGAAGCCATTTATCATCAGTTACAAGAAGAGGTGACTGAGAGGAAAGCCAGCAGGGGAAAGGAGGAGGGGGAGCTAGAGAACTTTCCAGCATGAAACCCATCCTTGGCAGCCCGTACGCACACACATCATCCTTGATAATAGTCATGTTACTCCTTAGATTTAGCATTTCATCTTCTGTCTTAATGACCTCATTCTAACCCAGCACTCCTGCTCTGATGATAAGCAGGCCAGACGTATGTGGAGCATGGGTAGCAAGCTCACAGTTTTCATCTTTCTCTTTGCACAATTCCCAGACCAATGCCCCCACACATTAAGTAGCTGTGCAAGCAATTTTTTTTATTACTTTTTTTTTCAATGCCTGTCAGGCCCCGACTCCTGAGAATAAAAAAGAACAAAGTAGAGAGACTCCTCAAGCTTCTAACTCTGCGTGACTCCCCTCTGATAATGTTAGGAGACGACTTAGAACAGCTATGCTGCTCTGACATTGTGAAGTTCCTTCGCTTCTTAGATGAAATATTTTCTTGCACTCATTATCCCCACTTATTTTGAGTGACTCATCTCTTAAACGGACAGATGAGATGGGTGATTTAAAGTATCTTTAAAGCAGAGCAACACAGTGCCCTGATAAGTGACAGATCCTGCTTCTAATTTAAAGTAAAACTTCTTTCTTCTTTTTTTTTTTTGGTGCGCCTTCATGTCATGGCAACTGACAGAGTCCCCTCACTGAACAGAGTGAATAGAGGAAATGTGAGGAATGGAAAAGAAGGCTGAGTGTTTAGGAATGAAAGGAAAAGGGAAGTATGTTGGGACCTCACAGAAGGAGATTGTAGCTGAGAGAGAAAGGAAAAAAAAAAAGAAGTGCTCTTAGATTTTTCCCAGGAGAACAATAACGAACTGTGAGAGAGTTTCTTCTTTTTTACATTTGTCTTACAAATCTGCAGTGGGAACAGATGGAATAATGAAATCAAGGAAAATATCAGTGCTCTACTAATTTAATTGTATTGCAGAATAAAAGCTGAATTAATTAAATCAACGCTCGTCAATATTCATTTGGCTTATTCTGTTTGGATTAATATATAAATGAAAATTAAGAGCTGCTGTTTTTTTCATATATGCACTACTTTACATTTCCATGCTACTTAGTATATACTAACATATTGTTACTGTAGGTGTAAGTAGACATAAGCTGGTTCAACCAGTCAAATGTATAGCTACAATTTCAACACCTCTAAAATTTTGCATCAAAGTAACTTTTATGAGAATTATGAAAAGTGCTAAAACCCCCTGAAGTTTCTCTGGCTCTGTTTAAAGGCATACTATGCAACATTTTTCAGTTAATTAATGTGTTCCATAAAGTTTTGGATGAA